ATGTCCGCAATTATATGTGTGCTTATATATACACAAATATGTTTTGCAGCTATCTGACTCCCTTCCCCCACATGTTCCAGTACTGACACTGGCATGGTGCCTCTGGCCGAGGTGCAAGCTATTTCAGGCGTCTCCTGGGAGCCCCATTCTTTGTCAGGGTAGAAATCCAAACCACAAACAAATAGCAGCATGCTGGAGCCAAACTTTTCCCACCTGCTGGACACTGACTGTTTCCTGGGCAATGCTTGGTGGCTTTACAGCACTCTAGAGGAAGTAACATTACCTCTGAAGAAGTAATGCCTGGGGAAGGCACTTCCTGCATTCTTCTGTCTACACTATTTGGGACAGGAATCATAATCAAGGGGCACTAAGGAAGCAAAGTAGAGGTCCTATTTTCCAGTCTCAGGGAAAATGCGAATAGTCTAACAGACCATAATCTAGTCCGGCTATATCCCCATACATAGCCTGACTTCCTATGTATCTGCTTAATATACACGCCAATGCTGTCATAGTTAACCTCTTAAATAAATTAGATCTATGTTCAGGATAGGTTTTGTATTTCATTCCTTCCCCTAGTCATCTTCATACTCAGGTTAAATTCTCATGATTAGGCTTAGGAAGCTTCCCACCCATCCAGTTTCTTGTTCTGGGACTATTCTGATAAGAGGAGGTAACCAAAGGTGGGGAATGGTGATTAGCAGAGCGCTCCTTCATATACAGCATGCAGCTCCAGGCTCAATGCAAAAGCCAGCCGGTCCCCAAATCAGTCAAGTGGGGAGGGTGAGGCACACAAATGTTTTAAACAGTAGCCAAAAGTCTGAAAGAGACACTTCCTTCACCCAACCCTATGGACTCCCTCAGTTGCCAAGAGACATCCTCTCTCTCTTTTTTTAATACCAACATCTCAAGCACAATATTGCAGAATCCACAAGAGACCCCCCAGACTCACCAGTAACCCCTCACTGCATTTTTCTGCCATGGTTCTGGGCCAAGATGTGGGCTCCCACTTGCCTGCTATCCCGTCTTGCTGGCTACACTTCCAGGATAAGCAGAGACCTCAAATCATATGGCAGGACAAATTAGACCAAGGAGACAGCAAGCTGTGGAGAAGAAAATGACAGAACTTAGAGAAAAGAATTAAAAAGGAAAAAGTAACCAGGAAAAATTGCCTCTGAAACTTCAGTGTAAAGCAATTATGCCCAGTACGTCCTTCTTGAGGCCCAGTTTTCAGTAACCATCAATAAACCCAGTTTGATTAACTTGTAAAGGTCATTTTTACACTATGTAGATACGTGGTTATATCACAAACATACACCACATACACACACACACACACACTGTAGTTATACAATCTACTTTCAACATATGCCCAAAGATGGGAAAATGAGTCATGTCAGCAGGGCTGGGAAAGAACACAGAGTTTGGATGAACAGGCACTATATCTGCCTCACTATTTCTGGGTTTTTATGTCCATTACTACCAGGAACAGTCCCCCTGAACTGCACATGACTGAAAAGAGCATAGCTAATGCTCAGAGCATGAAGTCTTCAGGGCACTGAGCACGCACAGGGGCACAGCTGCCTTTCAGGACACAGATGGAAGGCAATTGCCTTCCACCCCATTGCACTAGTCACGTGCCAAGCCAAGCCTACTAGAGTCCAGGTGGTACTGTCAGGAATGAAAAGGAGACAGGAATTAGCCCACCTTCTCCCTTATGCAAGGAAAATTTCTTCAAGGAAACCTGTATAGGTATGCAAGTTTGTCTGTTTGAGGCAGGAAAAGCTACTTTGCAAAACATAGCAAATCTGAAGAATGTTAAGATCTTGGAACATGGAAAAAATTACTTCTGTGCTACAGCACAATGGAGTGTAGTAAAAGAGACAGACTTTCATGGATCTCACTGGCACAACCTAAGGAGATAAGAATTTGAGTAAAGTGCCCAAACCATTATCTCACTTAGATGTCTGTAACTGGTGACTCAAACTCATATTTTCTTTATGTTATATGAAAAGAAATCTATGAAGTAAAGAACTCAGTTTAGGTTGTTCAAGTTCACAGCTTCATATTATTTTAGGGTCAAATATTCTTGAAGATCAAAGCTATATTTATATCATACAGAGACATTAATGCCATTAATCAATGCAATGTGTACTTCACACTTTAGATGTGGCTTTGGGAAGTTTTGTCTCCCCTGCTCCAGTGTAAGCCACCACAAGTGTTTCCTTCTCCCTCTCTCCTGCCCTGCCCTGCTATCCCATCTGAGTTAAACTGGTAGGTCCCACAAGTCTTGTTTTACCCTCAAGAGAACTAATTTGGTACTACAGGAGGTTTTTGATTCTTGGAGAAAAACATTACCTAAATTCCTGTTAGAACAATTACCCAGAGAAGTTGAGAACTCCCCTTTTCAATGGATTATTCAGACAGAGGCTAGGTCTAGGAAGTCCTCTGATACTTTAATTTAGACTCCTGCACTTCACAGAGGGATGGACTCATGAGCCTAAATACTTCCTTCCACCTGTATTGTTTGTTTATATAAACAAGATTGTCAAAAGCCTTCTTATTCTTTGCTTTATTTCTTTATGTTGAGGTCTGAACACCAAATAAAACCAGTATCAAAACCAGAATTTGCAGATCAGACACATGACATAGTAAAATCTGTTTAAAAATTTAAACAAGAAAAACTAAATAAAAACATAAAAGCTATTGGATTCAAGCTCATATATCATTATGCAACCCAATATAGTGTGTTATTTAGTTTTTTATGGACTTGCAGATTTAAAGGAGTCAAACAGAGAGGTGCCAATCAATAATGTGACAGAATCATTAGTCCAGTAGAAAAGAACTATAGGAAAAATCAAGAGGGATAGAAATTCAGTTTAATTTCAGGAAATGACTAAATTTGAAGAAGCCACAGGCCCTGAGAATTTTACTGTCCCACAGTAAACATCTTGTCATCTAGATTTCTTTATGGAGAAAAAATAAATAAACAAATATTCTACCCTTTTTTTCACATCTCTAGAGCACAACAGATTTTGATAGATACTTTGAAGCAAGTCTCTTGATTGGCTTAAAATACTGTTTCATTAGTTGGAAAAAGTTGTGTGTGTGTGGGGGGGGTGGTACAAAAGTAGCATACTCTTTTGATTCTCTTATTTTCCAGATTATTTTACTTAATATCTTATATATCGTCACCATGTCACTATCGCCTCTTTGCCGTCACATAGATTTTTTTCAGGACATCTGTTCCCAGCCTGGTTCAACAGTTGTCCACACACACACACACACACACACACACACACACACTCACACACACACAAACCTCTCTAATTGTCCACACACCCATTATCTTCCAATTCAATACGTACTAATAATACTGCTTAAATATTTGTAACTGCATACTACCAGTGGCTTTCAAAAATCTTTTCAATAGGCAATAGTGAGATTCAATGACCTCCTAATTCATTCCAGAACTGCATTGAATTTGGGGATTACCTAAATCTGGGTTAATTAATTAGTTAAACTTCTTAGCTTAAGACAATTAGGTATGCTTTTAAAATAGTAAAGTATATGGTTCCATTTACTTCAGAATATGCCAAACTTGTCCTGCTGCATTTAGAGACACTCCTGCTCATTCCACTAAATGGGGTCCCAAAAGTTCCTCAGAATCCTCCTGGTTGCACTAGTGATACCATTAACTATTAGGAGTGGACTGTTCATATATGAAAACATTATTAAATTATGGGCTGTCCTTAAAAACTGTCTGGAAATTGGTGCAAAATGCAACAGCCAGGCTGCTGGTACATGGTACAGAGATTGCATGGCACTATACTGAAAAATCTGAAATGACAACCAGTTGCCTATCGGGCACAGGTTAAGGTGCTTATGCTGACCTTTAAAGCCCTAAACAGCTTACAGTTCAACTATTTGCCGGATTATCTCTTTCATTCTGAACCTGCCAGGCAGCTTAAATCAGCAGGAGAGGCTTCTGGAAGGTTCCCCCAGTGGTGTGCTGATAAATGGAAAAATATTTGGTCCTGCCAGCTCCAATGCAGCTGTGGTGCTGTGAGCCATCCAAACAATTGATCGGGCCACAAGGTGGCACGGTTTGGATGGCTTGCAATATTCCTGAAAATTTAAAAATGGCTGCTGCAAGCCAGCTCCAGTATGCTACTGGATTCTCCCTTCCTTCTGCTTCCAGAAGTTCCATCTGACTAGTACACAAGAAAGGGTCTTTTCTTGTATGGCCCCCATGCACTTCCCAAAGTGATTCACCAAGCTTGTAATTATTAGCTGAGCAGAACTTTAGTTTCAATGATACTTATTTTAAATGTTGTTTTGATTTTAAGCATAACACAGTATTCTTATGTTTTGTACTTTCTATTTTTAATAGCCATAAGCTACTTTGAGCAAAAAGGTGGGATCTAAATTAAACAGTGCCAATTATTACTTCACTACTAACCTGTTGAGACCAGGCAGGGAGCCCATGAAATAAAAATGGCAAAATGTGTTGGCACATGCCTGAAGAAAACATGAGCAACTGAAAACTGAGGAGGTGAAGAGAGGTGCAGCAACAAGACCCATTGGAAATGGCTGCGGCATAAGAGAGCAATACAGCAGTGTCGTGAATGCAGATAATAAACCGAGGAACTGTTTCACTCTATAGGATTGGCCTGCCTCACTTGCTCCAGCAGAAGAGGCATGCTGTGGACCCTGTCAGTCCAGGAATTCTGACTGGTGGGGTCTAGGAGAAGAAACTTTTCTGCTGTGCCCCCCCCATCCTTTGGAATATCATGCACCTGCTCTGCCAACTGGGGACACCTTATGCTGGAGGTGGCTGGTGGAGAGAAGATCACACCGCTCACATATTTGATGCCTAGTTTCATCTAATTCTTGAACATTTAATGTTTTTAATGTTTGTATATTTGTGTTTTCATTGTACTGTAAACCACCCAGTCTCTTTGGCTAGGCGAGTGGCATATGAATAGAACTAGGCAAAAACTGAGCAGCCAGAGAAAGCTATTCCTGCTGCCTCTCTCAAAAGAGAGAGAAAGAATGCAAAAGGAAAAGATAAATACTTGGAAAGAAGAAATATAAACTTGTGTTTTGCAAAATCCTAGAAGCCTGAAAGGGGGGAAAGTGGCAGATTTTCTCAAGCTCATGGGGAAGCACCGTAGTATCCCATGAAGGTTCTCCCCATGGCTCACTAGAGCAGGGCTTTTCAACCAGTGGTACGGGTACCACCTGTGGTACATTGGCACCTGGCAGGTGGTACGCGACCATCCTAGAAAAGTGGTAGCAGGGGAGGGGAATGAGCTGAACTGGTGGCAGCACCGCACAAGCCTGAGCGAGAGATGGATGGAGCTGCAGGGCTCAGCGGAAGCGCCAGGATCAGTGCTGCTTTCCAGTTGATCGGTGCTTCTTCGGGACTGTCAGGGCTCAGTGGAAGTGCCAGGATCAGTGCCAGGCTCCAGCTGGAGCTTGGCGCTGATCCTGGCGCTTCTGCTGAGCCCTGAAGAAGTGCTTATTAGCTGGAATGTTGCAGCATCTCCAGGGTCTTGTGATTTACATTCAGATGCTTGGCAACTGATTCATATTTATGACAGTCACAGTGTCCCAGGGTCATGTGAAGTGACCCTTCTGCAACCACCCAGAAGACGGGGTAAATAAAAACCAAACACCCCCACCCCACCACCGCTGCCAATCCTCAACAGAAATGCTCACAATAATGCTCACAACACAGACAGGAGGAAGTTTATAACACCTTGCTAGGTGACTGGTGATACTCGGATATTGCCATATCCTAAAAGTGGTACAATGGATAAAAAGGTTGAAAAGCCCTGCACTAGAGCTATAGAAGCAGAAATAGTCTGGAAGTTGAACCATGGCAACTGGGCTTCTTTTCTTGTTGGTTCAAAATATTTTGCTGCTTATCACTGTTTCAAGCCAACAAGAAAAAAAAGTCCAGTTGCCATGTCTCA